AATACCTGGAAGTGTTACACTTAGGAGTGGACTGATTTATAAATGCTCTGCCCTGTGTATAGCTGGGTGGATGCCGTTCACACATCACTAGTGCCCCTAGATGGCACTGAGGAGCATAGGTATTTCCTATGCTCCTCAGCGCCATCTAGGGGCACTAGTGCCGTGTGAACTGCACCCACCCAGCTATACACAGGGCCCCACTGGCCCCACTATATGGCACTGAGGAGCATAGGTATTTCCTATGCTTCTCAGCGCCATCTAGGGGCACTAGTGTCGTGTGAACTGCACCCACCCAGCTATACACAGGGCAGAACATTTATAAATTAGTGCTTAGTGTATCACTGTCAGTCATTTTGGTTTCCCTGCAATGGTGTCACCCGGGTGCGGGCCGCACCCCCCTTGTGACGCCACTGCTCCCTCTGACAATGCCTTCATTTGTCACAATTACAATGTGCAGTCGGATTGATTGCTGGTGGAGAAGAGCAGACCAAGCGGTCAGTCCCTTACTTTAGCCGCCGCACTGGCTATAACCAAACCATTGCACATTTCTCTTCATCCGCTCCTCGAGGGTATAAAATAATTAGCGAGAAAATAAAAAATAAAAAACCCACAAATTAGCCTTTGCTAATGTGGATGATAAGTTTAAGTGCGGCTGGTGGAGGGAGGAGGTGCTGACTCACATGCTTTGTCCAAGTCTATGGCTCCCAACGGAGAGAAGGGAGGTCTTTATTAATGAACCTTTATTACTGGCATCCCCGAGATAGTGACACATAATGTGTCTTTATCAGACAGTGTCTGCATTATGCATGGACACAGCAGAAACAATACCCAGCATGACCAGCCCTTTACTGCTGTATTCATCTCACTTCCTCACTCATTCAGGGGAAATTGCCTTTATTACATTATTAGGTTAGCAGTAGGGGCCAAGAAATGCATTGCTGATTATTTTAAGGGACGTGTTACTTTCTTTTGTTTTATCCTTTGCAAAAGAAAGCGTATCTAAACCAAAGAACAAAAATTTAACATATTTCAGCTTTCCATTCCTCAAACGTGGTGGCTGCATTCGTTTTATTTTTTTTCTAGCTTTTTTCCCCCTTTATTCTCACCTGATGATCCTGCCAGTAAAACACGTCCTGTCTTAAGGTGCCCACACACCTTACGATAATCACAGGAAATCCCACGATCGTACGATTATCGGAAGGTGTGTGGGAGCCGTGCGACCTCTACTACTGTAAGGTCGCACGACTTTTATCTTAGGAACATGTTCGAAAACCAGCCGAACAGCGTACGATGTTCGGATGGTTTGTGGCATGTTTGCAAGATTAAAGCCGCACGGGCCAGGGTGCGCAAGCGCACACTGCCCGTTCAGCATTGCGGTCATCGGAAGCCCTCAGCGGGGCGGGCTTGCAATCATCGCAAGTATGATCTGCCTGTCCAAGATAGGCAGATTGTACGTTTTTTAAATTACCTTACAACCATCGCAAGACAAAAGTCTTGCGATGGTTGTAAGGTGTGTGCCCAGCTTTAGGGTGACAACGCTCAGTCACTGTACTGTATCTATGAAGGAGCAGTGTTGTGCCCTAGGACAGGATTACAGAACATGCCTCTTCTAGTTAGACAATATTGGCTTATCCCGGAGTTCAGCTTTAATGCAGAACCTAAGCTGTAAAGTTAGGTCTTTACAGAAGATCTCCCCCTGCCTGTCTCCCTTCAGTTCAGGTAATCTATTAAAGAAAAAAAAAAAGGTTTAAGTGCTTGTTTTTGTCTGGGGGTCAGATCAGTGGCGGAACTACCAGGGTCGCAGAGGTCGCGGCCGCGACCGGGCCCTGGAGTTCGGCCACTTGGAGGGGGCCCAGGACAGGAGGAAGGGGCCACTGGTGACCGCTGATTACCAGTCCCGTCCCGGGACCTCTTCCTCCCGTCCTGGGCCCTACATGCTTCACGCTGCTCCCCTCATCTTGTTCTGGGCGTTTCTTGGGGGGGGGGGGGGGGCATCATGGATTCTTGCATGGGGCCCTGAGGTCACTAGTTACGCCACTGGGTCAGATAAAGAAGAAATACTCACCTGTTCCTAGGTCCTCCGTTCCAGCTGTGGCATGTCCCCCGACTTCCTCATGCCTAATGCAGCTGCATTAGAAGTGATCACATCACGGGTCCTTAGACCGCCAGAGCCTAGGGGAGAAGAGGCTATGGGGCTGGTCTAGCAGCCAGGTGGGACAGTGGATAGGATGAGTATTTCTTCTTTACTTTTGCCCCCTAGACAAAATGAGCAGGTACCGCTTGCTGTGCTGGGGTAGCCCCACTGCACGGGTTAATTTTTGGAAATCCTGGAGTTCTTTAAATTAAGCCAAAATCTTTGTAGAGTGGAGAGGGATTAGAAGCCCTGTCAGGTTATTATTGCTATCTGAGTCCCCGTTCGAGAGATTCACCCCCTTTATTTGTCTTGGTGACTGTTATCACTGAAAGAAGATCCCAAATTTTGGGTTGTCACCAGAACAGGAATAGATGGGAAATCTTCCAATGGTGACAGCAATTCTGGTGACCCTGCTTTGCACCAGGTAAACCCCTCACTTTGGAGGATTTCCTCTCATATTTTGTTGTGGCTATCAGACAGGAAGTGAAAGTCTCCGCAGTGGGACACAGAACACAAAAAAAAAGCCGACAAGGGTTATAATCCTTCCTTACTCTATCCAAAACTGAACAACAAAATTTGGCTTCAGTTCTACTTTATGAAGGCCATATTGACCATTTAACATATTATTATTATTATTACATAGTATATATATAGCGCCAACAGTTTGCGCAGCACTTTACAATATAAGGAAGAAATTACAGTTACAATACAATTCAATGAACAATCAAACATTTCACATATGAAGAGTTGGCCATTTCACATATGAACAATCAAGCATTCCACATATGAACAATCAAACATTTCACATATGAACAATCAAACATTCCACATATGAACAATCAAACATTTCACATATGAACAATCAAACATTTCACATATGAACAATCAAACATTTCACATATGAAGAGTTGACCGTTTCACATATGAACAATCAAACATTCCACATATGAACAATTGGCCATTTCACATATGAACAATCAAACGTTTCATATATGAACAATCAAACATTTCACATATGAACAATCAAACATTCCACATATGAACAGTTGGCCATTTCACATATAAATAATTGACCATTTCACATCTAAATAATTGGCCATTTCACATATGAACACTTGAGCGTGTCTCCTATGAACATTGCAGTGCAGAGATCCTATATAATGAAGCGCAGTTCCCTCTTCCTAGCAATACATGGAAGGAAAGGTAGCGATATAATCAAGTTTGCGAGCTATACCGCCTTTCAATTTGCAGTCCGTACATTGTCTCCTGGCAGCAGATCCCCCTCTGTGAGCAAAAATCTATACAAGTGTATCCACAGCGAGATTCTACGGAACCCTGAGACTGTTACTATAGAAATGACCCGTCTTCCTTCACGTATACTCATATACAATTTATCCACCATGGAGAGATGTCTTGTAGGTAATACTTACCGAGGCTGACTACTGTATCTGCCCATACTATTGTGTATCATAATAGAGTGGATGGCTGCCTACAGACCCCAGCTGTCACCAGATACAAGTCTATACTTGTAAACCATGAAATGAATCTTTCTGTGTAATGACGACAATCTTTTATGTTTTATGGAACTCCAGAGGAAGATTGCCCCGTGTTCCTCTGGAATGTAAATAAAATATTTATAGGTGTTCCAGCATAGTTCCCAGAAAGTTTCTTTATTACAGCAAACCTGCACAGAGAGCAGTCCAGGGGTTGCCATTGCTGGCTGTGTCCGGCATTGGGACTTTCCGAGTCAATGACCCAGGGCAAGCATGCCGATTAGAAAGTCAGGGTAATATCCAAACTCCTGATCTGCTTTCTTGTTCCTGGCAGTGACTTGGAAAGGATTGAAGCATTTTGATTAGTACGACAGTCAGGCAGCTTACATTTCCTTTCAGAACAGGCGTCACTTAAAAATGTTTTAAATGCTTATAGGTGGGGCAAAGAGACTGCCAGCTTCAGACGCAGGTTCTTCTGGTGGCCAGTGGTGAGGTCTTTGCAAAATCACTTAGTAAAACCTGATCCAAGGTCCTACAAGGGCATATGATGCACATTACAAGGCGGAAATGGACTAGTGGTGACGGAGAAAGAAGAGGTGTGAGGAGACCCCAATTGTTACAGCTGAACTCCAGTCAAAGGGCTAAATACACAGAAAAAATACTTATATACAGTATATAGGAGCTGTATTCCCTCCCAAAGCATTTTATATCAGTCCATATGGTCCTGACATTTACAAAGCTCTGCTAAACAGTGTGGATGGAGGAATCTCCCCTGCCCGGCTATCATGTACTAGTAACGAGCAGAGGTAAATGCAAGGTGTTGGACCAAGTGCCATGGTTCAAAAAAAGTCTTAATTTGGGCAGCTCTTCACAAAGCTAAGGCTTTCCTAATAAAGGGGTCAGCCAGCTTGAGAAATCTAAATATAACTGATCAAGAGTGAGTGCCAAAAGCACGTATCAAAAGTCCAGAACTGTATTTGATAAATTCCACAGGTATCAAAAAGGGTAACGAAATAACATCCAAGGTTTTTTGGGGGGGAAACCATACCCCTTCATTAGGGCTTCGACCGTTGTTACAAAATCTATTAGACTCTAAACTAGGAGTCTGTGTCAGTCACTTAGAGCCAGGGAAACATAAGGTATCTTCAGGAAATGTCTGTGTAAAGATGTCATGCAGTTGCTTGACACAGGACGGCACAAGAAATTCAAGCAGTGTACGGCCAGCTTTACAGGTCTTGTCCCTTCCACACTCTACGACTGGACAGTGAAAGGAGAAGCAACCGCTTGCATTTAGAAGATTCGATATAAGAATGTATTAATGAATACAGAACTGCATTCATCTGTAATAATTCTCTGTTTTTTGGTCTTTGCAGCTATGGAAGAACTGGATGGAGATGAGGTTCGGGTTTCTTCTAGAGGCCGCTTTGCAGAAAGAGACATTGTGCAGGTAAAGCAAATAATGTGTACCCTGTATGTAGTGCAGTCTCTAGTAATGGTGACTTGTCCTTGTAAATGTTTGTCCCTGGAACTATCCAACTAACCATACCACCAGGGCCATAACTAAACCCATAGCAAAAATGTGATGGGTCACTAAACTTTGTATGAAAGCTTTGTTGTTTGCATTGTCCTATTGCATAAACTTGTATAAAGCTCAGGTCAACACCAGCTAATAAGCTGTCTTGGGTCCAGTATTGCATCTGGCTTCAGGCTACAGGTCTGTCTGATGGGAGAGGATCCGATTCTTCAGTGTGCATTGGTCCAGGAGAGGCCCAGCGCCTGCAAAATATTACCTGCCCAGGCACTGGGTCTTCAGTAATAAATAAAAGAGTACCACCATTGCACTCAACAGGCGATGCCTGAAATTGGCTGAAGAGGTGGATTATTTCCACCACTCACCACAAGTGTATACGTTTATCAAAGTTGACCTTGGAGCCCAACTCCAGGTTTTAGGTCCCCCACAACCCGCTGCACCAATTTGTAAATAATCGAATCATATATAAACTGAATCATTCACAAACTCTTCAATAATATACAGAGTACCAGCAGTACACTCAATAGGCACTGCCTGAAAATGGCCAAAGAGGTGGATCAGGTCCACCACTGACCACAGGTGTATATATTCAGAGCAGTTGTCCTTTAAAGCCAAATCCATGCTTTAAGCCCCCATTAGAAAAAAAAATCATATGATAAATACCCTTATTGCTGCAATCTTTTGGCTGATCACATGATATCACAAATTCTTCCTCCTTTAGTGGTAGTGGTGGACAGTCCTTAACCCTTGACTATGCTGTGCTCACATGATGACAGGCTGTTCTATCCAGGAGTACTGTGAGTCCATGCCATTATGACGACAGATTTTTTAAATTCAAACTGGGCCACTGATTTCTTAATTTGTGTTAAAGGTTGGATTTGGGCTTTACAGCAAATCTGTTTTTGCCTATGCAGCAACAGGTTATCTTTGATGCCCTCCTCCCCAGCAGTACATACTCACCTTTACTGCACTCCATCACTGTTGTGATCAGCTGCTGGGAATAAGGAAAGGACGCCCCTATATAAGCTTGGTCACTCTAGTCAGAGCTTGTACAGGGCTGAGAACTGTCTTTCTGCCACCCCTGGGTGGGCCAATCACCAAAAACCAGCAATGTCACATTAGAGGAAGAGGGGACTATGGTCCACCATGTTCCGAAGTACCAGGTTTTTTTTTTCTCCCTTGGGGGAGGGGGGGGGGGATGGGGAAGGAAATGTGAGTGTTTGCTGCTGGGGGGAAGAGGGTGTATTAAAGTGAACCTGTTGATTTTCCCTGCATCTACAAATCACACGTTTAGCAGTATAAAGTCATTTAGTTGAGCAGTGATATCCCCAGTGTGTGCCATAAAAAAAATCCCTCCATTTATAAAATGAGTTTGTAAAAGTATCATGAAATTGACTTCTAAAACCAGGTCATGGGGTCCTGATGGTCTGCCTCTTATTTCACAAGATGCATGCCAGGGGGAGAAATCATTGTGGAGGCTCACTGTTATTGTTTCCTTACAGTTCGTGCCATTCCGCGATTACGTGGACCGCTCTGGCAACCAAGTCCTCAGCATGGCCCGGCTCGCCAAGGACGTCTTAGCGGAGATCCCAGAACAGTTCCTGTCCTATATGAAGTCCCGTGAGATCAAGCCCCGCCCGATGCCGCCCTCTGCCCCCATTCAGAACCTTCCCTCGCACATCTGAGCACCAACCATGCTACTCCATCCTGCACAGAATTGGTGGCGCCCCCTACCAGTTCTAAAAACATAAAAGACAGGGTAACGCTTTGAACCCTTCCAATCTCCTCTTCCTTGGCCTGGCATCTACTTAGTTATGGGACATGCCTGCTAACTGCATCTTCGATAAACCAGCGGCACCTCACTCTTCCAGGGGTTATGCAATACCGTCCACAGATTCCCCACCCTGGATTAACACCATTGGTCCTTCCAAAGGTTGGATTGTATGGGGGTGGGCGTAGAGTTCCGATGGTACTGTGAAGGTGTGGGGCATGAGGGGGTATTCACTAATGGGTGCGTGATTGGAGGGTTTAGCAGATTTTGCACTTTGAACGTACACAGTGCTAGCTGGGTAATGCTGTACAGTATTTAAGAACATTTTTAAATTATACAAATAATGTACATTTGTGCTTTCTGAGGAATTGTATACTGTAGTCCTCATCTGTCTCCAAATATATACAAATAAACCTTTAAATTAAATGAGGCTGCTCAATCATCTCTTCCGTCTTTTGTTTATTGCTGGTGTCGCCGGGTTTTAGTTCCATTTTTCAAATTTGGACTTTGTAAAGAAAAACTAGAACTGGAAAGAACAAAATGAGACCTAAAGAGGCGTTGATGCCCACAGTCACCAATCAGCTTTTATATTTTATTCTATATGG